TGTCCCTTCCTCAGCCTAGAGAGGGGATTTACTCACCTGGAGATGCTATGCTGATCCGTTTCCATAGCGACGACACAATAAGCAAGAAGGGCTTCCACATCCTCTACACGAGCACCAAGTTCCAGGAGAACCTTCACACCAGGAAATGACTACAGTCGTAGCCCGTAACCTCTGACCTCTGTGCAGCCCCAGCCACTGTTACCCTGACCTTCACCACGGCAATGAGAAAAGTACAGCTCGTCCCCTCTTGGCCAGCTATGAGAAGAAGATGACTCTTCTGTGGATATCTGTCTCCCTCTGTGGCTCCACACAGGTCACTGCACTCCGAGATGAGACGAGGAAAAACATCGAGACTTATCAGCAAACACTTGGGGGATTGCGCTGATGACCGCGCGAGCCGTTTTCACGGAGGAGATGGTTTTGTTACCGCACATCAAAGCTATGTGATCAGTACAGGACGACAGGGTTGCAGGAGATCCATATAGATTCACTGAGATACCCGGAGCTGAACAAATGCAAATAAAAAGCACAAACACTAGTTTCATATTTGGAGATATAAACCGCGGATGCCAAAGAAACTAAAGACCTTAAAAATGCATCCGAGGAGGGAGTCCAGAGTCTGGGACCGTGCGAAGTACTGTGATCAGACGGCTGCTTACCATCCACAGTAACCCACGACAAACTGCTGACAAACATTTTTATTGCCTTTGAGGCCTGGGAACTGGTCTCTTCAGCCCAGCTCAGAACGGCTGCAGATTATTTTATTCCATGTCTTTGTATTGTAAAACTCATTGTGTTTACTGTGTGTGTGCGTGTGTGTGTGTGGGGGGGGAGAACAAAGAGGCTCGAGTCTGCCCTTTGCCCTTTTTGTTGTTTTTCTTGCTTACAGCTTATGCAGATTGTGGAATAAAAAGAAAATAAAGAATATTAAATGCAAATAAAGACTTCCAAAACGATGTGTGATGTTAATGTTAAGCCTCACTGTAAGTTGTGGGTGTGTCCAGTTGCCCTTCCTCCACAGTGAACATGTGATTTTCTTTTTTTCTTCTTCTTCCCAGTGGATAGCAGAAGGGAATATTTTACACAGCTGTCTCTTGAAAGTCAGTGACTGAAGGAGAGATTCCCATGGTGCTAAAAATAAAGAATACACTGAAAGACTGAATGAAGGCTTTCAAATGGAGACAGCGTGCAAACAGCACTCTGCAATCAACAGCACTAGTCCTATGGAACTACAATATTGCCTTAGAACCAAATGTATGCTATCGGACGTCGCTCTTACGTCTCGTGTCGGCGCCATGTTTTGATTTGTTTGGTGAGATTGGTTTAATTGTAAAAAAAAAACTAGCAACAACAAAAAAAAAACCATGAAACGTGAAGTCTGGGTGTAAGACGATATCCGCAGTGCATGTGTGTTTGTGTCACTTTTGTGGTTACATGCACACATACGCGTGTTTTTTGTGCATTTAGGGGAAAAAAAGGACAATTCGAAGGATATGTGTTGCAAATGGGCTGCGTTGTTTCTCTTAGTGTGTTGTAGGTGATTCTAGAGCAAATGTGCGTGTGTGTATTTTAAGTTGTGTGTTTTTAAGTTGAATCTCTCATTGCTGTATGTGCCAAGCTCCAGGTGACCCTGATCCCACTGTTAACTGTAGTTTTTGCTTTATCGTTCCACCTCTGGGTCTGACATGACGTCTTCTGCATCGGTCATTAAAATACACACAGGCTAAAGCCACACTCGTGTTCTCTTTGTCTTTTGTTTTTAAAGGAAATATTAATCTGTTCATAAAATCTTAGCATTTAGCTTGAGATGGTTATCATGTGACAGCATGATATCTGATATCTGAAACCTTCTCCCACTACTTTCCCACTTTTTGGGGGATGGCAGAACATTTTCTGAGAATTTCAGATGAGTAAGTCTAAGACCAAACCTGACCCTAAATCCATTTTTGAGATTATAACCCATAATTTGGACTTCTTTAAGTAAATACATCAAGATTCAGTGTCAGAAACAAGCTTCCGTATGGATTTTCACTGAATTTGGTGATCAAATGTATAGTCACCAGACAATGAACCCAGTCAGTTTTTGTGACCTCATCACTTATCCAGTGACACATATTGTATTTTATAAAACCTCAATTTAAGACTTGACTTGTTGACTGGGTCTGAGACTGTTGGGAAGCTGGGTTCTTTCTGTGCTGTCAGCAGGGGTCAGCCTGCATTCATTTAAATAACCTGCCACCAACAATGTTTTAATGATGTTACAGCATTGTGTTTTATCAACACGATCACTTTTAGTGATCATTTTTAAAAAGTTTTCAGAGAAACTTCAGAGAATGCTTTTGGGAACCAAGTAAAACATAAAGCTCTGTGACTTTCATCTTTCAGAAGGGCAGAAACCTATTTAAGGTATGCGTATAGGGCAGTGCATCACAGAGCTAACACACAGACAGAAAAACAATCACACTCAGAATTTAAAACCACCATTTTACCTAACAAGCATCTCTTTGGACTCTGGGTGCAAACCCACACTGGCAGTACAGATTAACTCTATCTTTGTTACTGTATTAAATTTAAGTTTCATTGTTCAATACTTGTTTATATATATAAAAGAAAAAACAACATTGTGGATCTTCAGGTCTATTTGTCATGCTGAAAATATGAATTCCTCATTGTCCTCTAACAGGGAATTGCACAAATTATCAATTATTAAATTGATAAAGACCCTAACACCTTGTTCTTGACCTTTGGATGCAGTATGCACATGCAGCTCGAATGCCTACTTTCTACCTTTCGGCATTTCGAGATGAATTCCTGATTTGTGTTATCTTATAGTCTTTCATTCTTTATTCTCTGGCTTCAACTCTTAATTCAAACACTGCTATTTGTAGATTTAACGATGCTTACACAACGTGCCAGAGCGGGAGACGTGATTGGACAGTTGCTGATCACACAGGAACGTCATCACAGAGCTAAGTAACAGTCGTCCAATGAGATTTTGGACTTTATACTACTAAATAATTGTATACTTTTAAATAAACTCGTAAAAAAAAATCTATAAGTATTCAAGTGGCGCACACTCCGCATAAAACCACACAGCCACAGCAAACAGCAGTCCACTCTCTCTTGTGAATGAGTTTTTTCTTTGTGGGACTCCTGTAAACATCAAAAAACCACAGCTTTCCAGCATGAGAAGATCTTAACTCATCTTACCTTTATAAGATCAGTTTAATGAGCTTCACTTGTCTCTCATTCGGCGCAACAAACTCCCAACAGTTTGATGCCGCTGCTTTACCAGGAGACAACCACTAGAGTGCGCCCTTAATGAGCCTTTTAAAGGTCAGAGCCCCCAAAAATAAAAGAAATCATTTTTTTTTATTAGAAATCTGTTTTTCTGGTATTCTCCCAGATGAACACAACACTGATTAGAAATATTTAAAACTCTTGAATAATCTTTTAAAGGCATACAAGGCTGTTAATTTAAACTTTCATCATGGGGAAAACTTTCATGTACATGCTGTACAACACTTTTTACACTTTTTAGTCATTAAAATGAGGAAATGAAACCATAAACGTCTGGACAGAGTCACCTTAAAGCGTCCCTTCATGCTTGTTTCCCAATATTGCTGCAGCAGTGTGTTAGACCTGTGTTTGTTTCCACCTACAGTTCACCCAGAGAACTGCAGCCAGACTGATGTAACCATCTCTCAACGTTTTAGGGCGAAAAAACGAGCAAACATCACGTTCTCTTGTACACTGGTCCAAAATATTGTACAATTTATTATTTAAAAGATAGATCTGTTTATTAAAAGGCTTTGAAGCCTGATAGAGATCTGAAACATTTTTGTTTTGAATTGAAGGAAAGGCTTTTTAAATGAATACCATAGAGACTACAGCTCCTCCCACTTGGTTGGAAGACTTTATGCCCTTTAAGGCAGTAGTGCTGGGCGTACAATTTCAGCTTTGCAAGACACCTTTTGTGTAATAGAGTTATAAATGACTGATTTTGTGGTCAAAAAAAAAAAAAGTGAAAATCCCCGTGCCTTTTTTTCTCTAAACAAACATCAACAACTGCTGAGTTACTGTAGCTGTACTCATACAGTTTATGTACTCTGCCTTAGTGCACCATGTGTAGGGATAAACCTAATAATGAATTTCATTATTGATTGATCTAATTAATATTCTATTTTTTACCATCTGATCATCAAAAGTCCTCAAAGTCCACTCAAAGCCCACAGTGAGTCGTTTTGTGAGACTAATAATGGACTATGAGAAGCCCTCTCGAAAAAACATGGTGAGAGCAGAAACAAGTTTTTAGAATTTTTTGGTCAAAAATCAACCAAAACTTTCAACAGAAAGGTTGATTTTTAGTTAACTGATTAATCACCTCTGGTCAGTTTGAGACTTTTAACAGGAACTTTTATGTACTAAGTGACTGTCAGCTACTATTTGCAGGCCACAGCACGTTTGATATTTACACCAGATGCAACCCCAAAACGATGTGCATCTCCTTGTGGAATCACACCATGGATCTTTTGCTTGGCAGGCTAACGTGTAAGCCACAAGAACGGCCTACTTACTGAAATTTAAAAAAAGAATAAAACAAAAATCTTCACAAAAATCCACAACTGATTCAGCTATTGCAAATCTGCCCAATTTTTCCCCAAAATGCACCACATTTTTACCTTTCATTAAGCAGATAAAACACAGGTAACACACTCCATCTGCTTGGGAATATTATGATTAGACTACTGAGCGCTCCAAAACAACTTCAGCATGAGCGTTGAAAGTGTGCCGTTACCTATGACTTCAGCTTTTAGGCCAACACTCAGGTCCTGAGGCAAAAATGAAATTTAAACATCTGCTTTTTCCTGAACATCACATGAGATATGAAGAAAAGCTCCAAAAATCAGACACAAAACCGCGCTGCGCTGCAAGAGCCGTTTGATCTTCTGCAATGCTTGTGTGGGCGGTGAGGTGCAGCTAATTTTACCCAAACATCATTTTTGGTCACATAGCATCTTTAATACCACCATTATAATAATTAGGATATCAAAAGTATCGAGTATACATACATAATTTGCATTGCGGTACACAAATCTGAGCTGATTTATGTGTTAATATCTTTCATTTGTTGTTCTCAGGATCAACTTTTATTATCTTGACATTGTGCTGATACATTAAATCGTCCTGAAGAACTATTTCAGGAAGGAGAACATTTAATTGGACATGTATTGTTAAGCAATATAAAAAGTTGTTTTTTTCCTTGATATTTCCAAATGTAACTTGAATCCTATAGTCTACTACTTTCCAATACCAATAGTCAAGAATCTTGATATAAGCCAAACTAGAGTCCATGTCACCAAAATCAAAGTACTTCAGGTAGGTTCCTTCACCTACAGTTGTCTGGATATTCTGTAGTTTTTCTTCTGTTTTTTGCAGTTAAGTTCTTGAAGCTGTGGGAACAGTCTATTGAAGCCATGCCTGTTTTTATAACAGTCCCAGTAAATGGATTCTCAGGAGTCTGAAGATGTACGCGTGTGAGTGTTTATGTGTGTGTATTGGTTGAGGAAAGCGTGGGTGGAAAAAACTGGTGAAGCACCCCACTTTCCTCTCTCCTCCACCACCGTTATGGTCTCAGTCTGTGCTGCCTGTCAGACGCTGGTGATGGAGGCCAGGCAGTTCGATGACTTCTGGAGTTTCTCAGGCTGTGTGGTGGGGGGCTCTGGGATGGTGCGAAAGCTGAATGGCAGTCCGATACTACTGGTGCCAATGTGGCCGGGGCTCAGCGCTGGATTTTGCCGTCTATTGCTTTCCACTATGCTGGATGTGTTGGATGCAAGGCTTTCACGTGTCCTGCACGACAAAGACAACATGACATGCAGTTTTTTTGTTACAAAAACTGAGGTTGATTTAAAAAAAACATATTGGAAACCCACTGAAATACTTTTGATACCATTTTAAAGCAGACTTCGAATGCTGAGGGGAAAAAAGATGATAGGTTATTGACAAAATTATCATGCTATTAAACAAAAAGGTAATGTGAATCAAGTGTTAACAATTAGATCTGCCACATGTCGATTATGCGAATTACTTTCTTGTATCTTTAAGCCCAATGTTAAGTTCCAAAATACAGGATATTTATTAGTTTATAAATAAATATTAGTTTTTGTATCAACGCTATATACACAGCAAAATTAAAATATGTATTACAGTGGCTATTCCATTTTACACATGATCATCAGTGTGTGAAAACATCTACCATCAAGACTATATTCTCTTTTACCAAATAGAGACATTTACAAAATGCGAAGTAGTACTGTAAGCGCAAGTGAGTTTGAAAAGCAAAGATTTATAATAGTAAGGCAGGTTTAATGGCAGATGTTCTATTTTACCAAGTGTAGCATCCAACATTTTTTGGAGCTTGCCCAGCATCGATTGCATTAGGTTTGAATTTTTACTTTTTGATAATATTAAATCAGAGCATGCATGCCTTCTAGAAGCTTCTGGAAGATATACACCCCTGTACTGTCTGTCAGTTTATCCAGAACTGGTTCACACATGATTCTCACACATTAAACTGGCTTCATATTTCACTCAAAGAAACAGAAATGGCTTGTAAAACAGATGCTTGCAACCAGTAAAATCTGGAGTTGGAATAGCTTTGTATGATGCCTTTATGTACCGCTGTTTACTTTTGGGTATTTTTGAAAGTTAAGTTTGTTACAGTTAAAACCAGTGTTGGTCAAGTTACTTGAAAATAGTAATTGTTACTAATTACTGACGATTTCTCCCAAAAAGTAATCCAGTTATTTTACTGATTACTTATTTTCAAAAGTAACTAGTTACACAACCTGAATAGGTAATAAAGCAATAGACCTTTCAGCCCAGAAAATTAAATCAAATGAAAAAGTCTATTTTTAAAACTTGTTTTATTATTTTTAATCTTTTAACTTTATGCACATTGCACCAAGCAAAAATGAAATTATAAGCAACATTCTCTGACTGGAAGAAATTTGTTTAACATTTAAACCTATTTTCTGTATATTCCAGCATATAAAATAAAATATTTTTTTATGTTTGCACTCACTCTTTCAGATAGATTCAAGTAAAACACAGCAGAAAATAAAGAAAATCAAAGATTCAGCGGCACTGAAGTCCTGTCACTCATAAGTCTATTTTCACCTGTTAAGCACGAGTGGTGCAGGCGGAGGTTTGCCCGTTGCCACAGCGGTCATGTCAGTGGAAGGATCCGGGGGTTTCTCTGTGAATTTCACATTCCCGTGGCAGCATGCTAGGTACTTACTCCGATTTGAAGTTTAAGTTTTCGCTGTAGAAAGACGTTTTTTTTCCACGCAGTTTACAGCAGATGCTAATGTTTTTGTCACTTTTTATGGAATCAAACTCAAAAGTAATGTAAGTACTTCCAAGCTTTAAATGCTGCATGGTCGTACTCTCTCCCGCCCTCCATGTTATCCAATGTTGATCTGCACACGTCTGTTGCTGCCACGGATGTCGCACGCGCTTACACCATTGACACGAGACACGGGAAAGTAGCAGTAATCAAACGACTTTTTTTGCAAAATTAATCTCTTACTTTACTCGTTACTTGAAAAAAGTAATCAGATTACAGCAACGCCCATCTCTGGTTACATGATGGACAAAAGTATTGGGATATGCTGTTTAATCTTTGAATGCAAGTGTTTTTAGTCCCATTGGGCGACCGTGGCTCAAGGGGTTGGGAAGCATATCTATAACCGGAAGGTCGCCGATTCGATCCCCGGGCTCTCTGTCCTGGTCGTTGTGTCCTTGGGCAAGACACTTTACCCTACTGGTGTTGCCCAAAGGCGCAATATGGCAGCCTTGCTTCTGTCAGTCTGCCCCAGGGCAGCTGTGGCTACAACCGTAGCTTTCCTCCACCAGTGAGTGAATAGTGGAATTGTAAAGCGCTATATAAATGCAATCCATGATTATTATTGCTACATGTGCATAAAATCAAGCACCTAGCCATGCAGTCTGACTTTACAAACATTTCTGAAAGAAAGGCTTGTTCTTTCAGAAATGTTTCTCAGTGAGTTTGCACGTGGTACTGTAATGGGATGCTATGCTGCATCAAGTCAGTTTGTGGAGTTTCCGCCCTCCCAGACATTCTGCAATCAGATGTAAGTGGCAATATTGGAAAGTGGAAGCGTTTAGGAACTAAAGCAACTTCGCTATAAAGAACCAAATCAGTAGCGCTTAAATGTTGCCAATACTCAGTTGACTGAATAGCTGCAGAGCTCCAAACCTCCTCTGGCATTAACATCAGCGCAAAAAATGTACACCAGGAGCTTCGCAAAATGCACTATGTAAACGGCTCAGTGCTTTTGTCCATATGGTATATTATACAGTCCTTTTTAGATTACCTTCTCCGAAAAAGTAATGACCGCTGCAAACATGGCTGTAGCTTCCAGGTTTGAACAATAAAGCCAAAGCAGAGCTTAACCCTGCATTCTGTCTGAAGGCCAGCAGAGGGCTGTGGTGTCAAAAAGACTGGTGCTGTAGAAGTCTGATTGTATGGGCTTGATCACTCATTTTGGGTTATACTGAATTTAAAAAAAAAGAAAAAATAAGGTATATTTCCTGCTATAAATCCTGATCATCTGTGGTAAGATTTCCCATGGTATGAAACCACACAGTCATTAGCAAATAAACTGTCAATCACAAGGCATAAATCAATGAGTGTGCAGTTTCACAGTCAGACCCGCTCATCCTCTTCACATTTGTTTTTGTCTTTTCCCACCATGCCAGATGCCGACAGTGACATCACAGTAGTTACGCCCATCTAAGCTCATACTGTGTATGATGACACAACCCTCTTACAACTCAGTGTCATCCACCGAGTACGCGTGTGTTTAAACTGAAAACTGTGCAGATCCTGTAAGACCAAAAAATAGAAGTTTGATAGGCAGAGACTGGTTTATTGCTCACCATCAAGAATCTGATGTTAATGCGTGCCATTTTGCACACTTTCATCTATTTATTGAAAAGAATAACTGTGAGGATGTTCACACCCTATTTACACATGCACAAACCTCATTGTTGCTTTAAACAAAGCAGTCAGCAGCTAAATAAGCACATCGGTGGATGAGCACAAACCAGCATCTTCAATGGATGGACTTTGACATACATACAGAACCTTTACAGCACTATTGCCAAAGCTGAAAGCTCATATTTCTTCAGCCTAGTGATAAGCAAACAGCGTAACACGACACTGATATGAGTAGTCTCAGATGAGTTGATTGTTAGCCAGCTACAGTGAATAGATTCATAACCAGAAAGGTTGACGACGGGATAAAATATCAATTATAATTAAGTATTCTTTGGTCTTGGAGCCTTCACATTGACCCATGACATCTTTCACTAAGGTCTGGGTGCAAGAAGCTTTATTTATTTCAACAAACCACACATAACCACGACATCTGTTTTAGAGGAAATATTCAGGCCCTCATGTGCTCTACCTCAGCATCCTAACCGCACTCTAAGTTGCACTTTTATGTCATACACAGTTTACTTTAGCACATACCTGGGGGAGTTGAATCCACTGTCCACCGTGACACTGCTGCTGTCCATGCTGTCCAAACGGGCAGAGTGGGCTGACTTCTGGCTGCTGCTATTCTCTGTCTCCTTGGGGCTGAGTAAAGTCAGATTGGTCTCCAGTTTTCGCTGCAGATCGTGGTCCTTCTCCCGTTCCAGGAGCCACTGCATGGTTCCCTCCCCACCACCACCACTGCCTCCACCATTACCACCCCCTTCCCCGTGGTCTTTGTTGTCCTCTGCCGAAGCCAACTCTTTGTGCGAGTCCTCCTCTGGCTCTTCCTCGTCGTCGGATACATTATAATAGTCAAAGGAGGCGGAGGGGACTGTTGGCTCTAAGCAGCCCTGTAAAACTGCAGGTGACGCTGAGGAAGTCGCTGAATTGGAAGGCTGCTGGGGCTCAGGATTGTCTAGGGCCTCTGTTGATTTGGCATGTGAGGCTTTCCGCAATGTGCCAGACTTGGTGTAGCTGCTGTCCACGTAGCCGCTGGACAAGGCATTGTGTGGAGGTTTGAACAAAGTGTCCTTGCTGAAGATTTCTTTCCTCTTGATCACCATACCACCTCCTCCCCCTCCGGGATCGACATTGTGTTGGTGTGGCGTCAAACGGGCATTTTGCGCCGGCTCCGGCGTCTGGCTTGGCGTCAGTCGCGTTGAGCCGTTCTGTCCTTTTGCTGCCGACAAGTCCTCTTTGTACTCCATCGTGTGAGGAGAGGTGAGGTGAGGCGTTTGGCGGTCAGCCGGAGAGCCCTTTCGGAGTCCCCCTGATGAGGTTAATGTGTCATATTCTGATTTTGCCTGAGGCGAAGGGGCAGTTAAGATTGTTTCATTTGACGTATTGCACTGGAAGTACTCATCTGTTGAGGGCTTAGAAGAAAGTCCCATTAGCTCATTGTACGTTGGCAGGCTGTCTCTGCTTTTGTTCCTCTCCATTGTACTCCGGATCCTTGACTCATCCAAACTCCCTTTCCCCAAATCAGGCACATTGAAATCAGAGTGGAACTTAGCAGCAGAGAACATGATCCTTGAGTAATGGGAGGACTTCTGCGTGGCCCGCAGGGTGCCATCATCAGTGTAGTAATGACTACGCTCCTCCAGACTTGGTTCAAAGTCTTCTGGTGCACCCAGTGACGGGCCTTTTAGAGAGTTGTCCATGGACCGAGATCGTTCTTTCGCCTGATCTGACCTCTCGTGACGAGACTTCCTGTCCTGATTGTGACTGTGACTCCTTTGCACTCTGGACTGGCATGTTCCACGTGAAGGCTCGGGGAAGGGCATCTCTGTCCGTCTCTTAGCTAGCTCCCCAGACACATCCCACTCAGGGGTAACAGGGCAGTATGACTCAGTGATGTTGGGGTTGCTGTGGACCAGGTATGTCGCTCCGCCACTTCGCCTGCGCTCCAAGGTGTACATAGCCTCTCGGGGTGAGCGAACTAACGAGTGGCTAAAGAAGCGGTAATCCCTTTCCATGAACACAAGATCCCAGTTTGAACCCTCAGATGGGTCTCCCCTGGAGGTCCGCGGTTTGCTATGAGAACGGGACTTACCATGAGGAGCCCTCCGGTGGCCTCTGCCCCTCCTGCTGCGTGCGCTGTGCTGGGCTGAAGACCCCGCTTTGTTCTTCTGCGTGCGCTCTTCCTCTAACCTCTTCATCACAGCCGTGTGCCTCGCAACATTCTCCACCGTTAGGTCGGGGTTGATTCTGCGAATGATCTCCATCTCCACTTCGCGGGGGATGGGTGTGGTTGGCACATCCTCGTCACGAAGCGGCCACTCCTCCGGAGGGAACTGGGCTGAGAAGGTTGCCAGCTGCCTCATTTTGTCCTTCTTAAAACTCAGCCTAAAGAGCCTGAGTCCGAACCTTTTGGATTGCTTCTCGCCGCTTCCGCCACCACCACCACTTCCTTCTTTCTTTTTGGTCAGAGTGTCAGTTTTATAGGGGAAAGAAGTGATGCTTTTGCCCTTATCAGCTGGATCTTGAGACGGCGATTGCTGGGCAGGGGGAGAGGTGGGAGCCGGGGGATGGGGGTACGATGGCGGCTCACCTCGGTGCTCCTTGGCTGACGCACTCGGCGGAGGATCCCCGCCGCTGTGATCCTTGGGTGGCTTACTTTGATAGGAATCTCCCCTGTGCTCCTTTGGTGACTTGCTCGGGAGTGCAGGGGGGTGATGTTTGGACGGGTCTTCGCGATAGGAATTGTACGAATCATTGTTATTCTTGCGAGGAGGCCTCTCCCTCAGACAGCCAGGCGTGGATGGTGTGGCATTGCCAGACTGAGGTGTAGCACAATGCTGAGGTTGTTGCTGTGGCTGTTGTTGTTGTTGTTGTTGTTGCTGCTGCTGTTGTTGCTGCTGCTGCTGCGGCTGTGGACGCTCTTGCAGTCGATCATCCAGGTGATACCACTTGTTGTTTGTTCTGATGAGAGAAGGAGTGATAAAGTAGGTCTGGGGAGTGACAATGAAGTAGCCCTCTGGAGTTGGGTAGATCTTCCTCTCTCGCACCAGCATGTTTAGGGTATGTCGCAAAACCTCTGAGCTGGGTGTAGGCACACCTGCAGAAAACAGATGAAAAATTATTTGAGTCACAGCTTTATTTCAAAAGCTTCAAATTCCTGAAGTTCACTTCAAATACAGGCATGTAGGTAACATTTGTTGCAGGCAAAGAAAGTGAAATGTAAAAAACTTAGAGACTAAGACTTAGAAAGAAGTGGAAAAGGGGATGATATCAGCAATGTCTTGAATTTTTTAAACTTTTTTTTTTTAACTTTTATTTAACACGTGTTGCATTGCCTCACCTTTTCATGACACGCTGCTCAAAGTGAATTTCCCTCTTTATATGCAAAAAGTTACCCAATTGAACAGTCTTAACCAAGGGATTTTTTTTTTCCAGCTGCAACTGTAATCAACTCCAGGCTATTAAATACCCTGTCTTAAAGGACAATGTGGTAGTAGTCTCACTTTTTACTCATATGCCATCTTTAGTGTGCTTCTTATGTTTGGTGAATGTAGTCCAGGATTTTTTTGGATTCTGATTTGTTGATGGTGCACCACAGGTGAAAGTTTACCACAAAAACAGATCCAGTATTTTAATTTTAAATGTAATCTATTTAATTCCCTGGTAATCACAAATAAATTTGTGTTTTCTAGGTTAAACATGACCATGCGGTGAGAATGAAGGGGTTTTCACTTTAAATAAAAAGAGTGTTTTACAGCTAATTGGTGTTTAGCTTGCATTTCCCATTCTTGCTGTTCAGAAACTTGAGGCATGTTTTGCAGTATGCTTTTTTTCATAATACAGTACATGGTTTTAATGGATGACAGGTCTGAGCCAACATGCAGGCCAAGTTAGCACTTAGACTCTATTACTCCTGAGCCATGTTGTTGTAATACGTACAGAATGTTCTTTGGTATTATCTTGCTGAAATAAGCAAAGCCCTCCATTAGAAGCCATCTGGATAGCAGCACATGCTGCCCCCAAAACCTGGAAATGTTGTTCAGGTTTTAATGTTGCCTTCACAAATGTGCAAATTATTGTTGCCATGTGTGCCAGTGTCTCCATACAGACTCCAGATAAACTGTGAGAATTTCTAGTCTGGATTCAATACACGTTTAGTTTCCAAAAAGATTTGTTTTTTGGGCTATTCCATTCAATTTCTAATTTAAAAAACAAACAAACAAAACACCACCTGATCAGCACAGATTTACCCTAATTTAAATGGGCAAGGTACACACTTAATGGGGATTAAAATTTCAGAGCCCTAATGTAGTTAATTCCCTAAAAAAATAAACAATATTTATTTTATTTTATTTTAGTTTAGATGTTTGTCCAGTTTTTTTGGGGGTTTTTTTTGAGGGACCTTTTGAAAATTCCATTAACTACAAAACTGCTTGATCTACGTCTACGTAAGTTAAATATCTGGTAATATGGCTCTGAACATGATCGATGTCTGATGTCGCTAATAATTTGGATGTGTAATCTTTGACAGCATATTTGGAGACCTGCAGAATCCACAATTTTGCAGGAAAGGAGCAATATTTTGTTTAAACCTTATTAAACGCAAGGCACATTATATTCTTTAAAACAGTCCAAAACAGGTGAATAGTTCCAACTTAAATATGGGAAAAATTCATTTTCAACAACCTTTAGTCTCATATCCTCCAGATATGAACACCTTTTTCAGAAAGAGTAAGTTTCTGTTAATATCACATCCACATGCATCAAGTGATTGGGATAATCACTCACATCTTATATCACCTTGTAAAATATAAGCATTGTGTGACATTTTCAGGCAAATCTGACATATTCAGCTGGGCGGCATGTGATGATCTGACATGGACTGACCCTTTAATAAATACCCAGTTATCATCAAAAGCTGTTCACTTCACTCATAACCTTTATATAGACATTCATATAATGTATTGACATTATATCAGTTATAGTTTTTAACACAGAAATGATGCAACTATTTATTTTAACTGCTTTACAGCAAGGAAACATATGCAAGTATATCTGTGAATGACAACAGGCAACACAATGATCACAGTTTGAGACCTCTACCACATGCAGAGCTATTGTGAGGAAACGGCTGGATATAGCTAAATTTAAAACTCACATATGCAAACTGATATTACTGATTTAATGACTTTTCTTTTTTGTTTTGAATTTGTACTTGTTCAATAAACACTCTAGTTTCATAAAATTGAATTCTCTTGCACAAGTTTTACAATGTTAAATATGAAAGTAAGATGCTGCTAGGGCCATAATGTTTCGGAAAATCATACGTTTGTTGTCATTTTTTCTTCTGTACACCACTATAGTGGATTCCAAATCAAATAACCAGGATGTTATCAAAGTGCAGGCTTTGAGTTTAAAATTTTTAACTGTTCAAGATTTATAGCCATTTTTATACACAGTTTCCCATTTTCAGAGGATTTAAACGTAACAGGACAAACTGACTGGCCAATACTGTTCAAACTGTGTATTAATTATATTGAATAAATCCAAATGGAGGATGATTTTGTGTTAAACTGATCATATTTATACGAAAACTGATCCACTTTATTTTAATACTGTATGGATGCAATTACAGAGTTGTATCAGTCTTAGAACCTGTTGGTGTCTCAGGAGATACAGATAAATATTAACTGTAAAAACATGCAAGTGATATTCGTCAGTAGTAAATATAGTAGAATATTGATTCTAGATAGAAGTCCAGCTATTAATGTTAAATATGACTGTATTTGTAAAGCTGAAAACTGGGAAAACAGTCCACAAATACAGAACCATCATTCAGTGTCACATATATCTATATTTACTATATTTTAATATATTTTAGACTTGGGTCATCATTTAAGTGCAAAGATGGATTTTATATTTTCCGTCAGGTTTTCAGCTAGCTCACAGAAAATGTCAGAAAACAAAAGAAAGCCCACCGAAAAGCAGAAAAGCAACAGGTTGTCTTATTTAAAATAAATAAATAAAGGCAGGAACCAAAATTTGTGAAAAACTGAAATGAGATAATTTTCTAAATGCTTTCCAGTTCAGTGTCTAATGATAAACAAATCAACACAAAGTGTCTGGAGTTTGATGAGAAGCCATTCAGTGATATCAACCACTCGTGAGATAGCAGGAACTGTACATCAGCATGTTTAAGTTGCTCTTTGAACAAAGCGTCTGCATTTGACGTGCATAAAATGTGAAACATAAAGAGCATGACTCTTCTGCTTGAAGAATTTAGTTAAATGTAAAACATCTAAATACAAAAAACCAAGATATGACAAATAAATGGTAAATAAACAACATGCATATCTGATAAATTAATAAAAAAAATCTAGATTTTTAGGCTTTGATTTTTAACATTTTTTCTACAATTTTTCCTTCATGTTTGAGTGCAGTACCATGTTAAGACGCAGGTGCGAGGGCATACCTGGGAAGCTGGCAGTGAGGTGCTCCACCAGTGCCTCCTGGTTGACAGGCTTGTGGGCAGAGTTCATAGCAGAGATGGCCAAGCACAAGATCTCTCCCAGCGGGATGAACTGTGACTGGCTGATAGGTGACATACTGATCGGAGACACGTCACCTGCAGGAGGAGGAGGAGGAGGAGGAGGCAAAAGCACAACTGTTAGATCATGAATGAACAGCAGGCGCAGCGTGTGAAGCTATGATGTAATGGTCAAACAGCAGCAGTGTGTATGCCGCCTGCCTGTAACGGCTCCACCCCTCCTCTCTGCTTCCTCAGCCTCTTGCTCCTCCCGTTTCTCGTAGCTTAGCAAAGCGAGGCAGCTGCTGCTGCGGCGACCGGAGTATGAGATCACCTGAATCTCCACAGCGCAGCTATCTGATTAACATCGTTTTACGAACAGAAACGAGAGCTTGGACAATCAGCATATCTGAAATTTAAATGAAAAGCTATTTTAGAAGACCTACCCCAGATAAATTCTCCATAAGCTAGCTTTACCGTCAGCTGTAGTGAGTAGTGAAATCATCTTTACAACCAGGCGCCCGAGCTTCAAGCCCTTTAAAGAGCAAACACTGGTTCTGCTGAAAGGTTGCAAAGCGACACACTGAATCCACTGCTGCGGCATCTGCTGTAGTGACCCTGTCCTCTGACCTGCATCAGGTGATTGACAATCATATGACAAGGTGCAGAAACTGCATCATCAGAGCTTCTATATTTAATCTTTCATTAAGCATTGTGCTTCCTCATCTTAAGCAACTTGAAAACAGATCTGGTGCTACCCATGGTTCCTCTGCCTAGGCTGAAATGTGTGCAGAGCTCTGCCTCCTCAGCCTGCTCAGCTGAATGGTCAGTTAAGCAACACAATGACGTTATCTCTACTCAGTATCACAGTCCCTATTAAGCTTTATGTGGCTGTACAAGGCTTTACGCGTATTCTAGTAAACATAAGAAAAGCCACGTATGCTCAAGATCGGCACAAAAGTAAATCCCCTCCTAGTTTGCTTTTATAATGTCTTATAGCAAAGAAGAAAAAAAAGAAAAAACAGAAAGAGAACAGAGAAACAAGCTAATGTTTGTAACAGAAGTATTGAAAGGATCAAAAAATTCCCGGTAATTGCATTCCTGATACTGGGATAGCCACAAGCCTTTACATAATCTTATCTAACACAAAATACAAATCTGCCACAGAATGCACAACTCGTTCTTGTACTGAGACTATTCAGACACACCGTATAAATCTACTAAAACACTACAATATTAATTCAGAATATGAAATTAACCCTCAATGGAAAAACAAGAAGCCCTAAACCTTAAGAAAGAAAGCAGGACTCGCTAAAGTGCAAATAAAGTCTTTGATTCTATGATAACACCCTGGAAAACTAAAAAAAAGAAAAAAGGGAGCTGTTAACACCTCCTACTTCAGAGCGACCAAACTTTACTGACTGAGCAGTCGTGAGTAGAGAGGGTGGAGCTTCTGAGAGTGGGAGGGTCTGACTCACCTGGCGCACGATAACTTGGCGGGGATGGAGAGAAATGAGGGGGAGGAGGCGGAGGAAGATGCTGCTTCTGCACACGGATGTCTTTCTCACTACGAGAGAGGTTGTGCTCCAGCGGGCGTTCGGCGAGCTCCGAGCTGGGCCAGGCCCGCCGCAGATTGCTGCTGCGGTTCTTCTTCATCGTGACCCCCTTTTTTTAAAATCTTATTTTTTTTTCTTTTTTTAAACCAGGTGGTCTTCACCCCCCTTGGGCTTCTCGGGATAAGGTTGGAGGGAGGGGGGTGGAATGGGGTGGGAGGGAAGGGGGGGAGGGAAGGAGGGAGAAGGGGAAAGGGGGAAGGGGGGTGTGTGCAGGGGGAGGTCGACAAACCTCGGGCTCAGTGCCTCCCCCGCATTAGTAAGAACGTCCCGCTAGAGCGATCACACACCAGACATGGCAGGAACCAGTGTGCTCCTTCACACACATACACATGTCTCATTTACATCCACGAGCAAGCTACAAACGACCGTGTTCGCACTGTGGGTGGTTGTCATCGGCTGCTGGGCTCTCCCAGGCTGATCTGGATTGATGGCAGTGGCAGCAGAGGTGCAGGTGACTGCGCGAGGCATCACCCTTTCATCGACATCAGTCCCAGCCACCATTCGTAGCATCCCCATTTGCATGCGTAGGGAGGCACATTACGTAGCCACTCTGATGTGGGAGGAGGGAGCAGGAGAGAGGTGGGGGGGCAGGGGTAGAGATGAGGGAAATGGGGCATTGGAAAGAAGGAGGACGGTGAGGGAAGATTTCAGCGGAGGTTTTTGGGATCTGCTTGTTCCTTTCGAGTAGAAGGTAGCAGGGGGAGAGAGGCAGGGGACGGATGGATGGTCAAAGATTCAAAGCTTAAGAGAGGCCCAGTCTTCGACAATAGCTCAATTCACCACAGGAGTGCTCGGCCGATCCCCGTAAAACAAAAGAGCCCGCTTCAAAAAACACAGAAATAAAAGCTCCATTCACCCTAATGGGCAGTGAAACCTCAATAGTATGCCAAGCAGCGGAGACGCCACGTTCACCTCCATCTTTATCCGATCAAGCACAAGACCCCATCGTCCTTTCGACAACAGCACACCAGCAGAGGGTGGGGAGAAAAAAATGGAGAGCATAGAAATAAATAAATAAATTCAAGAATAGATATCCACCATATCCCGCAATCCGACGGAAGAAGCTCCTGAGCTGATCGCCGTAGCATCCATTCATTAACGGGGGGGATGCAAACTCCAGTCAACGGCAAATCTCTTTCAACGCTAATGCTGCAGCTGCTCCCAGCACCTCCAGGAAGGGTGTGTGAGTATGTGTGTGTGTGTGTGTGTG